GTCAGGGCAGGTACCATTAAAATGATCGTGCGATGGCTCATTTTAAAGCTCTTGAAAGCAGCTTTAAAATGAGTCTTTGCAATGTGACGTCCGGGTTACTATCTCAGGTACGTTTGAGGCGGACGTAATCTCAGGTGCTCTATTTGGTTTGCGTGCGTACGCTTAAACCGGGACGAGCAATTGGAGAATCAGAGCTTTTCTATTTCGCGTTTCGCGTTAAAAGAGTGAAAAATAAAATTTGACTGCAAGTCTTCCATTAAACACCACGGTCCAATGGAATCGGGACTTGGATGTGAAAATCCCAAACCTTGCTAGAATTATCACATAAAAAGTATTTAAATTTTGTTTAACGGCGCGACTGTCTTATAGAAAAGTATCCCAAACCTTGTTGAAATACTTTTCGAAAACTTGCTTTTTTTTTCCGAATTCCGGTCTAACTATTCTTAATAGAAAGGAAGAGGAGAGATAGCAATAAAAAAATTTGTTTAAACTTACTTTTTCTTTATTTAATGTAGTTGACTGGTACTTGGAGAGTCCTGACACTTGATCGAACGAGGTAAACTTATGAAGCTTGCGAGGAGCGAGAGAGTGGGCGATTTTCGCTTGCGCACGCCCTTTTAAACCCTGGGGGTGGTTGGGAGGAAAATCCCTCTTTCAGTCCCTCAAAATTTGGAAAGAGTGGAAATGCCAGTAAATTCTAATTGGCTGACCGAGATTTTCCCTCCTTTTCTCTTTCGGATTTCGGGCCCTAATTGGTTCAGGGGCGTGGTGAGAATTGGGGGCGCGCGTTCAAGAGTTTGGGCCCTATCTCGCTAGATGACTCTCCAAGTACCATTTTCATTACAGATTTTCTTATAATTATTAATTTATTTATTACGTAAAATTGTTACAATTAATTCTTAATAATAACGCAAGTTTCTTAATATTTAACATATTTTATGCGAAAATCTTTGATCCTACATGTTTACAATTAGTAACTTAAATAATTAACTCAATTCGTTGTTTAAATAATATGGAATGAAAAAGGGGCATTATTTAATTGTGAACTATATAACTGATTCATTCAAGTAACTGTTTTTCGACTATTTATCTCATTTTCTAATTTATAATTTAAAACTTTAAGATATTTTCGATGATTGCGCGGTAACTATGTTTCTAATCAAAAAGTGTGTGGGAGGTTTCAAGAAGCTGCGAAATTTTCCTATCATGCTGTTATTTTCCCGGTTCATTTGTGTAAAATCAATTATTAAGATTTTTTTTATATAGCAAAAATTTTAGCTTCTAAAAGTGGAAAACTTTTGGGTGAAATCGAATAACAGGATGCAGGCGGAATTCCGCGGCTCCTTTACTCTATATCTAAACCTACTCAAAAAAAACTTTACGATCTTTCGAGGTAAAATTCGGAAAGCGCGTGACAAAGGGACGGCTATGTACACGTGTCCTCCAGCCGCTTCAGCTGAATGCTCTCCCTTTGCTCATTTACGGAGTTAAAATTTAAGCTACGCAAAAGTACATGAAGGAAAAAATAATTTATTGATAATAAACGGCCCGACGTTACAGCAAGATTAAAAATTCGGTTATGATCAAAAGTTATGAGTGTTTCCGCTTAGTAGTCCGATATCAGGTACAGGTACCTAACATTTAATTATTCAATTTTTGTTTTTTTACTTTTTTTAAAAAGCGCCTAACGGATTTCTTTAATTTTTGTCTTAAATGTTATAAAAATACATGCATAAAAGGAATCCACGTTCAGATTTGAGGTACATTTTTCGCCCATTTAAATCGTCAGAAGCGAATCGTGTTCTGTCAATTATTGTTGCATTCTTTGTCTATTTTTTCTATAAATAAATTCTCCTGTATCCTCTAGGTTGATGTATTTCCCCCTTTTTTTCTTATTCTTATTTTGAAATCTTCACATATAACAATTTTTCTGTCTTCTTTAGAATCTATTAATTCTAATTTTTCTGATCTTTTTGCACGCACGCACGCACGCACGTACGACACGACACACACACAAATCATATTGTAATCATCTTGTATACCTAATTCAGATTTTTAGTCCTATTTCTGTTGTTTCCTTAAGTTTATTTTCTATCCTTTTTTTCTTTATTTCTATCATGAAACCACCTGACGCTCTACCCTTTTGCTTCTCTACTCTCTATATTCTTCTAGATGTAAATTGAATCGAACAGCTGTATCAAACTTTTTTACGATCTTCCAGTATTTCTTGCATAACTTTCATATAATTTTCTTTTTTCCTCTACATTTTACTTGAATACTTTTCTTCACACCTTATCTCAATATCGAAGTAATTAGGCAAGTGCTCTGAGCCTTTCCTATAATCTGAAACTATTGTTTTATATTGACCCTCATCCCATCATGATATCCAGATGAAACACCACTCTGCAGAAGGATTTTCTCATATAAAATCTTTGATCTGTCATTTCTCATCCTACTTACGGTTTCTTTGTATAACATACTTAACTTTTTACTTCCATATTCTTTATTATATCTTCTGTTTTCCTTGGTATATACAGCTACTCTTTTCAATTTTTATCTCTCACAATCAGAAGGCTTTTTATTCAGCCCTACCCATATCAGATTCCAGACATTCAAATATTTTCGTAAAGCAGAATTACTTACTAATTAGATTTTTTCAAAGATGCAGCCAGTATATTACAGATTCCACATTTGATTTTATGTAAATTGATACATATATAGTTTTTGAACTAATAATTTAAATAATAAGGTTGAAATTATTTATAAATTATTCAAGGTTTATCTAATTAAATATATGAATTTATTAACTTATTACATTATACACACACACACATATGTAGCTAGATTGTGTAGATGCAAAAACTAAAAACTTCATGGAATGTTTTAGATTAAATTTATAAATGTAAAGAAACTCTTCAAATGGTCATTGATCAACAATTGAAAAAACAGTTAAAATGATATATCTGTGCTATAAAGGCATTCTATGGCAAATATGACATCATAGACCAATATGTTAAAAAATAAAAAAAATTAAATTGACAAGTTGATACAGTTGATTCTATTTATATGAAAAAGACAAAAAGAAAAACTAACTTGGTGCACTACCTGTTACCTACTATTATATAAGTAAATGCTAAAAGTCTGTTAGATTATGAGATTTCAGATTGTTGCTAAATAAGCCAATATCAACATAATTGAATTTTTATTTACCTATTAATACCAATTTGTGGTAAAAATTACGAAACATAGAATTGTTTTATGTACATAATATATTTCGGTTTTTTTAATTTTGTCTAAAATAATTTCAATTTGACTCAAGCATGAAAATGAAACAAGAGATGAGTGTATTAAGTACTGTTGACAACACTGGTAGTTATTGAAATGTATTTACTCTTACAATATTTTCATTGGGTTCTGACATTGCAAATTTTATTAAATTAGACACATGATAAAACATAACATTTTATTTCAAAACATATCCTTTTAGACAAACAATTTAAAAATAAAATCAAAAAATGTATTTTTGTATTTGTATACTTGAAAAATTAAACGGTTAAGGAAGGAATTGATAAAATAATAATTCTTTTTTGATTTTGCAAAAATTTGTGATAAGACTGATTCCCTAATTATATTTAAATGAAATGTTAAAAGCTTATGGCATCAGAAGATTGGTAGAATACCTTTAAAAGTTATTGAAATGGTAGAAATCATTTTATTAGATTCGATAAACATAAACATAATATTATGTCTTACACTAGATGTTTCGCTAAGGTGAGGCCTTCTATTACATTTAAACCATACATCTATGATTAGCTTAAGATAGTTCCAGATAATCCTATATCATCATATGCTGATGATAAAGTGATTATTAACACTGATAAAGATTGAACAACTTTCAATCTTCATAATGAACTGAGCAATTATTTGCTTGAGATGATCAGACGGTAAAAACTTAACGGTTTACTTCTAAACAAAACAATACTATAGGAGTGCATATTACTTATTATGCCAATTATACTGAATAAATATATAGACCAAGATAAATTGTCTTTTTTGAAAGCAATCATAAAAAATTTATACAATAATTTTTGTAATTTGAAAAATAAAACTAGAAGCAGTACTGTAGTGTCAAATATAAACAAAACTCAACTATCTGTAATCATTGATATATGGCTACTAAAATCGTTGGAAAAATTGATAATAAAAGAATTTTTGATTAATGTAAGATAACTTTTGAGATCTTTCAATAAAATACTTGAAAAAATAGACCGAATTAAACCTATTATCATGATCTACCTCATGTATTACATTTTACATTATATTTAACATTAGTTAACATCATATACAAGCGTTACTTAAGCCATAGCCATGTATCACTTAATTAAATATTTAACATTAGTTATAATACCTGATTTAAATAATTTTAGATATGAAATATTTAGAATAGATATGTTTATGAAAATAGTTTTATTAAGATTCAATTATAAATATTTGTAATATCTTAAGTTTTATCTAAATCTATAACTCATGTACCAAATAAATAGCAACATGAATTTTCAACCAAAGTAATAATTTGTTGTAATTTCAATCCAGCACATAAAAATTATTAAGATAACTATAGAAAAATAAATTTAGATAATTTAATACTATTAGTGTAGTGTATAAAATTTAAAGTTAACGATTTATTTAACACTTATTTCTATGGCATTATTGCATCACTACAACTTACATAATGTATTATTTATTATAAAAATATAAATTTATTCACAGCCACAGAAAAATAAAGATTTGACTTCAAATTATCCTGAATTATGTGATAAGCCATTTCAATGAAAGGTTTTTATTAACTGATAAATATACTGTGGGCATACAATCAATTTCATCCATGATTCATAATCAGAGTATAAGATGCGTTGTGATGAATTAAACATATAAAATGTACTTAGTAAAACTATTTAAATATAATACAATTAATATTATGAGACTAGAATATAATTTACTTAAATAATAACCTGTTGATACAGATGCCATACTGGAAATAAATGAAGTTTTGCTTCAATTCTTTCAATTCCAGTAAAATAATTTTATATATTTTCAATTTAATAGAGAACGGTTTTTTTTTTTGCAGAACTTAATTTAAATAGAATTGATACCAATTATATGTACTTATATTAAAATTCACACTACAAGAATGAAACTAGCAGCAGACGAAATTAAATTTTACTCGCGCATTCAGTCCCCCACCCTAGATCAACCCGTGAAAATGCTCAAAATTAAGAAATTTTTTTTCAGATGACTTTTCAGATGGCCTATGTATTCCAAATAATTTGTCTCATTTGCATATCAAAATAAAAAATTATTAAAGTAGGAAAATTTTTTTAACTAACTTTATGAAATAATAGCTTATTCAAAAGCGAATATTTCTGAAATGTAAAGATCTCAAAAATTTTATCACTATTAAAATTAATTTTTCACAGAACTGTATGTATAACAACTAAGATATTTTTTATAAAAAATTTGAAATGACATAATTAATATTCAATTACAATGACACAGTATTATTTCATATAACCGTTGGCTATTTGTATTTTACAGTTAGTATGTACAACGAGTATAGACGCTTATAAAAGACTAGTTCATATAGGACACTTTTTAAACCACTGGGGAATGGGCAATCCAGGAGCCTATTCTTAGCACGTTCGTTCAACAAAAATTTTCGAAAATATAATACGACCAGTGAACGAGCGAATAGAAACTAACGGTGAACGACAGTAGGTCGGTTACTAAAGATCTAGTAACTTTTTAAGGTCATGAGCATAACCTCGAATTTCAAATTTGTAAATAAATACGAAATGGGAAAATTATGTTTTGTATAAGGCAAAGAAACATATTTCTAATCATAACCTAATTTCGAATATCATATTTTTTATAATAAAATACAATGCAAATTTATGAAATTGTTCACTTTATTAAAGCGGAAATTTTTTTATTTACACCCTGTTAAAACAAGGACGTTCAACCGAACTTAAAATTTAATCCGCTTCGAGTCTATTTTCGAATTCTACAAATAACAATTTAAACTCATTAATGTGGAATCTATCTGAACCCCCCCCCCCCCCGCCCACGCCTTTAATATTTTTCTATCCTGAAATTAATTATTATTATGCGTAAAATTAATTTCAGGCTGAATTATATTGAAACTGAGTAGAAGTGGCCAGAGACGAAGTAACGCTGTTAATCGCTTTGGCTGGGACGTCTCTCTTAAGGAAAGCTGCCCTGACACTAAAACTGCTAGTAGTGAGAGATGTTTCGATTTTGGATGTTTCCTGGAAGGAACCTACAAGGAGATTATAATAAGTCATCTCTAGGATTTAGAGTAATACACTCTCTAGTAAGAGATAATAGCAGGGGGTACCATGGTTGGCTAGGCCAATTAGGTACAATAATAATGCCGGTAGCCTTTTCAATGCTTATCTTTCTCAAAGATTTAAGAATTAATGAGAAAGGAGGAAAGGCGTAAAAATAAAACAGATTCCAGCTCATGGTGAATGCATCGACCAGGTAAGCATTGGTGTCTGGGAACCAAGAACAGAAAAGTGAGCATTTTGAGTTACTATAGTTAGCAAAAAGATCTATCAATGGTTCACCAAATCTTTTAATAATGCTTGAGAAGGCACGAGGGCACAATTCCCATTCAGTGTCTAAGTTTCTCACCCGTAAAAGCGTATCAGCTTCATAGTTGTCTTTGGAAGCGATATAGGATGCGAAAATGAAAATACTTCTTTTCTTTGCCCACTGCCAGATCTCTCTAGCGAGTTTGTTATAGTTTGTGAAACAAATGCCTCCCATTTTGTTAATATAAGCTATAGCTGTGGTGTTGTCCACGCGTAATAAAATTTGACAATTGGATAGCTGGGAAGCAAGCTTTGCTAGAGCAAATTTAATAGTGAGTTGTTCTTTATAATTAATGTGGAAAAGATTCTGTCTAACGTTCCAAAATCCAAAAATGCTATCGTGACCATCAGTAGCACCCCAACCAGAGTTAGATGCATCGGTGAATATAGTTAGATCGAATACTGTAGATCTAATCTTGCCAGTAGCGGAGTTAATATTATTAATCCACCAAAAAAGATCTTGTCTTATGTAATCCGGGATGGGTACTTTGACTTTGTAAATGTGATCATTGATCAATAGACAAAAGGTTTTATAATGTTCCAATTTCTTGGTATAGAGCCACCATAGTCGATAGCAGGACAATTAGCAGCGACTAGTTTGCCAGTTAACTTGGCTAGGTCGAAAATTGAGCAGTGCAAATTGCGAAGAAAAGTGTGAAGCAGAGACAATAAATTTTATTTCTTGGCAATAGGTAGACCAATATTAAACTATTTGGAGTTAATAATAAATCCTAGAAATTCACAAAGCTGAGCAGGGTGTTATGTCTAGGCGAGAAGATGTTATGACTAGACGTAATAATGTTTAAAATACTGTCGCGTTCGTAAAAGTTGGATCTTAGTCAGGAGTTCAGCAGAGGGTGGTTAAAGGGATAGCGTCTTTATTATATGTAGTGTGTTTAGGTAGATAACTTAGTTTCTTACCTTGTTAGGACTGGGTTTCAGAAGAGATTTTACTAAGTAGTCTCAGGTTTTTGCACTTGATTAAGATTTATTGATTAAAGACAAGTTTATAATGCTTAGCAGAGTATAATTCCGGTTCTGAGTAACCGGGTAGCGAAACTTAGAAATAACTAAATCAGTATAAGTACGAGTACTAGCTTGAATATCAGCTTGAATATGAACTAGAGTATGAACTAGAATATGAACTGCCGCGGATCCTGATCCAGCCTTTTTATACCATAGGCTGATGTGTCCCTTCCCTTGTTTTTGCCGAATCAACATGCAGTGAGTAATATTAGCGGAAATATTATGGAGAACGTGCTTAGACTAATCTATCTCGCTAGATAGATTTACAAATGTTTCCGGGAGGGTTGATACGATAGGAAGTTAAATTACCAATACCCGATTAGTTACCATAACCCGTCATGTGTGACACTTATCATGGTTCGTCACGTACGTTTTCTTAGTATCGACATGACAAGGGTCATCCGTACCCTTGACCGAGTTTATAATGAAACCAAGATAAGACAAAACTTGAACGATACGACGTTTTAGTTTTGTATAAAGAGCCTTTTTTTCCGCAATTCCTAAAAAATCATCTAAGTATAAAACTACTGAATAGCTTTCAGACCTAAGAAAGGCTAAAGGAACCTTCATGATTTTAGGAAAAATATAGGGTGTCAGGCAAAGTGCAAAAGGTAAACACGTAAATTGATAAGTGACGTTATTAAAACAGAACCGAATGTAAATTCTGCTCTTCTTATGGATTGAAACCGTAAGGAAAGAATCTTGTATGTCTGTGGTACACATATAAAACAGTCGGAAAAAATAAGTTTGGTATCCGTGCGAAGATCCTCAATCTTAAAATGAGGAGTGTCGATGAACTTATTTAATAACTTTAGGTTAAGAATAAATCTATCCATACCATTGAATCCATACCATTGAAAAAGACGGTGTCTTTTTCACGTATATTAATAGAAGGAGGTGTAAATTGTACCGGTTTACTTTTAAATGAGATTTCATAGCCTTTGATAATCCCTAAAATATGTTCATCAGCAGTAAATTCTTTTCATCTATTACTAAATAATAATAGTCTACCAGAGGATCCTACTTTTACTTCTTCTTCGAAGGCGTCTTCTTGGCTCAGTTGTTTTTGTTGAAGTGATGTTGCTTGCTCCTGTGGATCTGCTTGTCTGTTGGATAACTCTGAGATGTTCCTAAGATAGAAGCGTTTCGTCCCGATGCTACCGCTTGGACTCATCGTTAAGGCTCGACTGCCGGTAACATCTGCCTCATACGCTCGAAGTGCTTGTATTGTTATACGGACTTATATATGCAGTGTGACGGTAAACGTCTTATTAGCGCTAACGGCCCAACCATGCGGCTGCCTGCGAGGGCAGCACCTACCGGTTGGGGAAAATGTGACGAGGGAATTCGGCACGCGACGGGACGGAACGCGCGCGTACGAAAATGAACCAGTCGAGGATCAGCTATCGATATCGCCTGAGGGTGTCGAGGACTAGAACCCGATCGCAGAGCTGTGCAACAAATATTTTTGACGTTTTCCCGAGCTTTCCTGAGTGCCGAAACGATTTAATAAGGAGAGACGGAAACTGTGCCATCATCCGATATAGACGAGTGCGTGTAAGCGTGCATGTGTGAGGAGTTTCGCCATCGAGGGCGAAATCGGCCGCGAGAGCCGATCGACCACAGAAGCGGGCTTCCCCGAGTCACGTCTACGAACTTTTTTTTTCGCTCTCCGTCCGACTGATAATAAGATAAGCTGGCCAGCTTAATTTCGCGATCGTAGTAGAATCGTCTGTAACTAATCTCTCGTACTCTGTAAGAAGCGTGCATGTATTAACCCGGCGAACAAAGAGCGGCGAACGATCCGACACTGCATGTTGTTGTCGTGCGCGCGTCATGTAAACATAAACACGCGGGCCGAATACAGTGTAGCATTAAGAGGTAATAAACGATCTCGCATGTGATATTGATTAGAATTTCATCGTATTTATTTCAATAGTAGATAGTTGGTTGACTGATACCCGTTCCCTCCTGCTCTCCGGTTTTCATGTTTAAACGTATAGGTAATCACGCGCACTCTTCAATACGATCGTGCGCATTAAATTAAATAAACGGTATTAACCCCGTTACATGGCGCCCAACGTAAAAGAACCTAAGGCGTTTATGATTCTTCAAAACGCCAGTTCTAAACATTGACCTTGCGCTCAGTCAACCAGCGACTTAGGTGGCAATCAAAGTGTTGTTGTGCGCACTTTGAGTTAAAGGCCACAGACTAAACATCGCTTCTCTGTTAGTTAGCTTGCGAAGGCCCGCCGCGACGATAAATTGTAAATAGTCGCTGTAAGCGCGTGCGAGTGCGACCGAACGACTCTTAGCCAAGCATAAACACCAATAAGTTTTGAAAGTTGCTGCAAATAAATATTGTACCCGTTCCCCGGCCCGGGGAAAACTAACACCGGCAACATTCAAACAAAAGAAATTCCAAATTGGTAATTTTATTTGATATTGTGTTGTCTTAACGTTAATGTAATTTTTAAATATTGTTAGCTGCGATTATTGGTGATTACGCACATAGACG